CCTTGGATTTCATGAGTATGTTTTTCTCTTTCTGAAATCCGGTTTCTTTTATTACTGCTTTAATATTGTATATAAAGCCAAGTACTGCCTTGAAAGCAGCACTCCTAATGTATATAGAGGATATAAAAAGATTTCTCAACAAAACTGACCTCTCAGTGGCAAAGAAAATTGCAGTGGAAGACACATTATTGCGTAGTCATATCTGAGGCTTGGATCTATGGAGACTCTCACTCCACTATCCTCTAGCCTTCCCTTATAAACCAAAATGGCTTACAAATGTCATCCACAATAGTCCAATAAAGATTAGGAACAAAACACTGTCCTTACATTGATGAGATAAGAAAGATTTAACTGCAGAAGGCAGTGTATAAGAACAGTTCATAAGGCTTGTTCTCGAATGAGAAAAATAGAATTCAAATTATATTTGTGTGTGGCTAGAATTTAATTGAGATGATCAGTTTATTTTCTACATAATGTTTGATCAGATGCCTCTACTACAGAGCTAGATAAGAAGAAAAGGAAAAAAAGAAAAACATTCTATCAGGAGAAATCAAGAAGACCCGTTATCTACAGAGTGTGCAAAATATGTCAGGAAATAATTCTACCCTGAGCACTGAGAATGCTCAGTTAATAAAAAAAGATCAGCCCCTCGCTAAGAGAAAATAATTGTCTGTATCTATATTTTTCAAAGCAAAAAGGCAGCCACATCTTACACTAAATAGGACACATTAAAATAAGCTTTAATAATCTTTATGCAGAAGGAAACTAATCCATTTTCAGATCATACGATCCACAGCAATAAAAGGAAATCATCAAACTAAAAACAATTTTAGAAATGGCTGCAGACTCTCATTTAATTAACATGCAACAGATCATATATTTATGAGGAAGTCAAAATATTTAGGAAGCCTATAATCCTGTAAGCCTTAATGTGGTATAAAAACAACAAATAAATGCAAAGTGTTACTGTTATACATGCCTGCCTGATCAATGGTTTTCACATATTGATCTATAAATGGAGTTGACAGTCTGTGTTGGCTGCACATTTTCCAAGCAGCGCTATTTTTGCAGAAAACCAATACGGGCAATTACCTTTGTTTGAGATGCCAAGTCTTATCAATTCAATGTGATTTAGTGTCATTTTAATTAAATATCAGGATCCACTTCAGGACAATTTATACAAACAAAGCCTCAAACCTAACTATAAGCTTGATTTGAAGTAAACATGGACAAGTCCTACAGTCTCATAATATTTCTCAAAAACTCTGCTAAACATAAGGCTTATATTTTTAGTAGCAATTTTTATGTCTGCCTTTTTGGCTAGCCACAACTTTGGCAAGTATCCTATAATCACAGAAGTAAGAAACAAAAGAAAATTGTTTCCTCTTTTTCTTTATAATATATTAAAAAAGAAAAATGAACATGCACAGTCTGTTAATGGAAGCAGAAGGAGTCATGTACGTTAGAATTTAGGAATGGCTCGACCTAAGTCCTTATCCTAACAGTAATAAAAAGATATTTCCCTGTCCATGAGGGCCATGAATAAAGTATTGCACTTCTGTGGAGTTTACAAGATGGAAATGGTGCATATTCATACACGTGGCTGCTTAAGACACCAGCATTAAATGCCGAAACTGCTCCTGTCTGCAAATCCTAGGTCTGCAATTTCCCTGATTTGGGCTATTTAAACTCTTCATTAATATCTATTCTAAACTGTCTAGTAGGCTGGAGCTTCCCTCTTATAAATAACATCAAAGCCGCATTAAACCTTTTGCAATAGCTATTTGCTGGACTGCACATTAGTCTTTCAGCCCTTAAAGAGACACACTTCACCTGCCCCCCATTTACGCTCACTAAGCCGTCTGCTTTTGGGTTTCGCACATTCGGGCAAATAAGCAGTTCACCTTTAAGAGGTCTCACTCCGGTGCTCAGGATGAGACAACAAATCACTGAGACCAAAGAGCGTTCCTTCCCCACCAAGTGGAGGTCTCCAGATCTCTCTTTCAAGGAGAGGCAATTTTCTGCTAACCACATCCTCCCGTGTCCAAACTTCCCACCTCTCCAACATTGGCCAGGTAGCAAAGTGGCCTTTTCAAATTTTGAAAAGGCATTGATCTTATTAACTACATAAAAAATGATCATTTGGTGTTTAAAGAAAACGATGCACACAGCCAATGAAATACTAATGGAGGATTAATAACTGTTTTAAGGAAATGCTTCCGTGCAGCCCTTAGGTAATGAAAACTTTAACATAATAAGTGAATTCACCTGTGTTTGCATAGCACAGGGTCGAATAAATGTTTATATTGGCATTTCATGCTGCTCCTCTGTTTAGGATACCAAGAATATAGGCTCTTCTGACATATCCAGCAGAGTTTTATACGGTGTTCCGAGTTCACAGTCATGTTAGACATATTTTTAATTGAACACAAGAATAAAGAGAATTTTATGAATTAATGACAAAATTATACAATTGATTGGACCCAAGAACCTTTTATCATTTTCTGTAATAAGTTAAATCATTGCGAATGTAATATCAGATTCTTATGTTATATACTCCAATAAGTCCATATTAGATTTGCATGATAGTTATGCCAGGGGACACGTAATATATATGTGCCATATATATTAAATATGATGCAAAACATATATATGTGTGTCTCTAAGTAGTCCTAATTTTTTTTCCGTACAGATTAAATGTAAGTGTCTCTGTTTCAACAAACAATGCTGCATGTGACACATGCATACATTTTTAGAATACATCTCCTCCCACCTCTCCTAAGTTCAAGATCTCCCCCCTTGACCTCACCCCAACCTCCAACTTCTGAAAAATCAAGTTCTTAGTTTAGCTTGAGCAGATATCTTTAACAGGCTTGTTTGAATAAATATGCCAAAATACTTTACATTCTGTCAGTATCTAGTCAGAAAATTGTGCATGGAAAAAAGAGATGAAAAGAACCAAGACAGAAAGAAAATTAGTGCCATGGCAAGCTTTCAATACAGTATCTCTGAGCCAAGTTTTCTCAGTGAAATGACATATCCTCACTAAAATACCCCTTTTATATAATTATGCACTGAGCACACATAACCAAAAGTAACTTTTATTTTTGTTCCTTATCGAGGAATACATATTGCCCAGGCTAAGAATGCGGAAACAAAAGCTGGGATAATTATAGCTAATTTAACTTTGGAAAACTCTTCTCTAGCAGTCCAGCATATAACCCCCCAAACTAAAGTTATGTAACAAGGTAATATCAACAATGAGAAACTGCATGATAAAATCCTGCCCAAAAGTGAAAAATGCTAATTTTGTCTCATTTAGCAGCTGGATACAGAAATGCTCATTAGTTTTAAGAGGGTTAATCCTTTTAACTTTTGCATATTGATATGCCAATTATGCCTAATTGTACAAGAGGCATCAGTCAAGGTAATAGTGCATAAACACATGAAAGTTATTAAGTACATCCCAACATGTAATAAAGTAGGTGTTAATTGGTAGCTGAGTTCTGCGGGCTATTGAGGTGGATAATTCATTGAGAGATGGATCACTTGTAATTTCTCTCCATAATTCCTTTTGCAGTCTCATGCTGTGATGTTTTCATGCTTGTCAAAAACAACTGCGGCATAGTGCCTTTTGTTAAACACAGCCAATAAAATATGTTAGGCATCATTAAATATACTTAACTTTTAAACTTTTTCAAAGGTACAGTTCTTCCTGCTAATACATTATAGAGATTCCAATAATTTACTCTAACCACTGTCTCAAGTTCATAGTTGAGGAACATTTTAGCTGGTTTAAAAGCAAAGTCAGGCTGCCAGGGTTGTGCCTCCCGGCAGACAGTACTTTTAAATGAGAGAGTGAATAAAGAAAAACACATCTCTCCGGTAACTTATCTCAGGATGTATCTCCCACTCCCGACATGTTATCACTGGCTTCCTCATGCTAAATCTGTCTATAATACCTGAAGAAAGCATGATTAAAACCATGTGCTTCTCAAGCTCTCGAGATGGCATTCCGCGCACTTGAAATTCGAGGGAAAACAGAGAATAAATATAATCGGTAACATGTTACTCAGCAAGTTTATCTCATTTAATAACTCAGTTAGGGAGCTGAATATTTCATGGGCCCCTATGATATTAACAGAACACTCAATTAATAGTTCACATGTTTCTGCAGAGTGACTGGGACTCGCAGCCTGTCCCCAGCTAACCTATTTCCCGCTCTTGCTCTCAGTGTGAGAAACAAAATAGATCTGGGGTCCAAAAGAGTGGCTAACATTGCATAAATAATTTTGTAACATCCTATGGCCTCAGCTGCAAGTTACCACCATTATGGAAGAAAATTAACCAGAGGAGACCCATCGCAATCAGTGTGTTTAGTGGCTCAGGATGCGTGCAGGGGCAGGGAGGCAATTGGCAGTAGAGTTCATCTCTAACTATTTTATTTCAGATCTTCCTAATGACACATTATCGAGACAAAATGGCTTCCTCTCCAAACCTTCCATCGCCATACCATTTAAGCTTATTCCAAATCAAATCGTAATTCCAATATTATATATTGTTGGGAGATTTTAAGAAAGAGATTTTCACATTTTTTTAAAAGATTTTTTTCCCCCCCTCAGTTCATTCTTAGCTAATTTTAGCCTCTGGCTTTTCAAAGTGATGTACTGTATTTGGAAGTACAAACACCACATGCTAGCATAACCTCATTATTTTTATAACACTGAAGCATGATAGTGGAGGCCCTTAAAATGAGTCAAAGGTGCTCTTCAGGCTAGCTCCAAATCCACTTTATCACTCTGGATTAAGCCCAGCTCCACTCTCACAACTGGGAATATTATTATGACTATAAGTAGGCAAGATAAAATGCATTACAAAAACAGTTTTCTCATGCACATTAGGAAAACAAATAAAACAAAGCTAAATAGTTCTTTTTTTTTTTTCTTTTTTAACAAAATTCTGTATCTGGGAACATGGGGGTTTTAGGGTATTTGACTTACGGGTTCAATGACCTTCCCAACATCGGTGAGGATCATGGATTTACTTTGGCTCAGCCTGTCGTGGTGGCTGTTGGCATTTTTGATTCTCATTTGCACAGCTCCGGTGCCTTGACGGGTGGAATTCAGTGTTTCCACAGAGGTATCAGAATTCGTAGATTTCTGCATATTATAGCGTTATCCTGACAAAATATAAAAGCATTATGTTATTCTAAATATATCTTTTCCAAGAAAAACTTGGTGGGATGCAGGTTCCTATTTATCACTAAGGTACAAAAATGAAACAAACAATCTCCACCTCTCTGAATAGCGGAGAAGGTAATTACTTTGTAGTTGTTTTTATCAACTGGGGCCTCTGTATGTGGACAGCGCTATACATGCCAGAGGACTTCAGAGTTCATAGCCAGCACAGCCATGCTCGTGTCGTTCCTAATTCCATTAAGGAATTCCTAATGGCAATATGATAGTCTTCCTTATGTAGAAATGCCAACTAAGCATCCTTAGGCTACATGCTGTTTGCACTCACAACGTCACTGAACTTTTACCTACCCCATCCCACCCCACCTCTACACGCTACCACCCACAGCCTTTTTTGGTGACCAAAAACCTGCATATTTCAGTGAGTAGAACTGGCGTTAGGGCAAACTAAGCTGGTCCCACTGACTATGAAATATGTTGCCTTGGCCTTCTTTGCCTGCTGCTCAGCCTTAGCCCCAACCCCCACTCACAATACCCAAGGAGGGAAAGTAAAGGTCCTTTGTCTGCTGCCATCTGCCAACTGAACTAGATTCAGTAGCTTTTTGTTGGACATAATGTTGATGAAGTATATGAAGAAAAAGAAAATCAAAACCATTTATTTAGTGATATTTGTTTTAATGGAAGAAGTCTGATTTAGGCAGGAACATTCAGGGCAGGCACTTGCTAAAGGAGCGGCAGCGAGGAAACAATTCGGAGAAGCAAATGAAGAGAACTCAACTGTGGCAGCATCCGTGGGCGGGCTAGGAGGGCTTTAGTTGCTTCCCCAAATCCGTAATCCTTTTCAACGGCCCCTCTCCATAAGCCCCTCCAAGGAGCATATCATCACATTTAAAAGAGAACATGTGCAATGCAAACACAGCTTCTAAGCTTCTAGAAACAGACCCCCTTGTGGCCTGATTGTTCTCTCCCTGTCTCACCTGTAGACATTCCTGAGCTGGCCTGGGCACATATGTCCGCACTAGGAAAAACTGCCATCAGTTACAGAAGCCAAGATAAACCAAAAGAAGGATTGTATTTTAGGGACCTAACTGTATTGGTACCCCTATAGCTGTTGGACAGACAATGGGGCTAGCTGGCATCATGGTAATGTTCAAGCTAAGTGAACACTAAGACGGTTAGAAAAGGATGAAAACATTTTAGTAGGAGGCAAAGTGTTACGTCGTAATTGATACCAGTAAAGCAATTGAGTGATAACTTAGAGAAGAAGTTAATATTTGTTGAGCATTCACTATATGCCAGGCAATGCACATAGTGATTTAATTCTTGCAAAACTCCCATGAGATAGACATTAAACTCATACTTTTCTAGAAGAGAAAAATAAAGATCAGAGAGACTAATAATTTTCCCAAGAATAATGGACAGAAAAAGTGGAGGACCTGCATTTTGTTCCAAAAAAAAAAAGACCCATACTGGTGAATAGACACATTCTAGTTAATCTATACTATGAAATATTACTCAGCGATAGAAAGAATGGACTACTGATGCATGCAACCACATGGATGAATTGCAAATTGCTGAGTGAAAGAGGCCAGGCCAAACAAAGTACTTATGGAGTACTTATGATTTCATTTATATAATATTCTAGAAAATGCAAGCTAATATTTAATTATAGAAAGCTGATCAGTGATTGCCTAAAGATGGTGTGAAGGGAAAAATGGATTATGGTGATTACAAGGAAACTTTTAAAGCTGATGGATATGTTTGTTAGCTTGATTGCTGTGATGGTTTAACAATTGTATGCATATATTAAAAATCAAATTGTATAAGTATTTGCACTACTGTATTTCAGTTATACCTCATAAAGATGTTTACGGGAAAGTTGTTTTGAAAATTCCTTAACTAAATTAATTAAATTGACTTAAGTTTCTTAATTCTTTATTTTGTTCATACTTCCATTTTTAGGCTTCCACATGAGTGATATAAAAACTCATTTAGTTGAGAATAAAAGAGCTATTTCAATAAGATTTGAAATAAAAATTTCAAGTGATTAAAAAAAGAAAGTCCCATCTCCACTCTTCCATAGGAATCTAATAACAGCTGCTTTGATGAGAAGGATTTTAAAATGTATCAAATCCGGCCACTAATAAAGACATAGGGAATCTTACCTCTACAGCTAACTTGAATAATATATAGAGTATTATATAGATAACTGCTAAAAAAAAAAAAAAAAAAAGTGAAAGCATTTTCCATATACCCCAGTACAGGATAATAAGTTTTTGGTTTTATTTTGTGTGTTATTTATTACTGAAACTATTAATTTTTCATAGCCCATCAGAAAGTATTTCACAATAACAAAGCAAATCTATGAATCTTTGATATTTATGAGGATGTTACTATTAAAGTCATGAGTTTTCCCAAATAAATTATACTAAAATTTGTATGGAACCACAAAAGACCCTGAGTAGCCAAACCAATCTTGAGAAAGAAAAACAAAGCTGGAGGTATTATAATTCCAGATTTCAAAATATACTACAAAGCTGTAGTAATCAAAACAGCATGATACTGGGACAAAAACAGACACATAGATCAGTAGAACAGGGTAGAAAGCCTAGAAATAAGCCCAAGATTATATGGTCAGCCAATCTATGACAAAGGAGGCAAGAATATACAATGGGGAAAGGACAGTTTCTTCAATAAAAGGTTCTGGGAAAACTGGACAGCTCCACATAAAAGAATAAAACTGGACCATTTTCTAACACCATACACAAAAATAAACTGAAAATGGGTTAAAGACCTAAATGTGAGACCTGAAGCCATAAAAATCCTGGAAAAGTACACAGGCAGTAATTTCTCTGACACTGACTGTAGCAACTTTTTTCTAGATATGTCTCTTCACTCAAGGGAAACAAAAGCAAAAATAAACCATTGGGACTACATCAAAATAAAAAGCTTCTGCACAGCAAAAGAAACCACCAACAAAACAAAAAGGCAGCTTACTGGATGGGAGAAGATATGTGCCAATGACATACTTGATAAAGGATTAGTATCCAAAATGTATAAAGAACATATACAACTCAACACCAAAAAACAAACAATCCAATTAAAAAATGGGCACAGGACCTGAATAAACATTTTTCCAAAAAAAGACATACAGATGGCCAAAAGACACATGAAAAGCAGCTCAACATCACTAATCATCAGGGAAATGCAAATCCAAACCACAATGAGATATAACCTCACACCCGTCAGAATGGCTAAAGTCAAAAACACAAGAAGTAATACGTGTTGGTGAGTATATAGAGAAAAAAGACCCCTTGTGCACTGTTGGCGGGAATGCAAACTGGTGCAGCCACTGTGAAAACAGTATGGGGGTTCCTCAAAAAACTAAAAATAAAAGCCATATATACTGGTAGAAAGGAATATACATATTCCTTTCCCATACTGTATGATCCAGTAATTATACTACTGGGTATTTATCCAAAGAAAATTCAAAAAGATATATGCACCCCTATGTTTACTGCAGCATTATTTATAGTAGCCAAGATATGGAAGCAACTTAAGTGTCCACTGAGAGATGAATAGATAAGGGAGATGTGGTATATATATGCAATAGAATATTATGCAGCCCCAAAAGGCTGAGATCATGACATTTGCAACAACATGGATGAACCTAGAGAGTATTATGCTAAGTGGAATCAGTCAGACTGAGAAAGACAAATACCATATGTTCTTACTCATACCTGGAGTCTAAAAAACAAAACACAAACAAATGGATAAACAACAACAAAAAGCAGAATCAGACCTATAAATACAGAGAAAAAATGGTTGGCAGAGAGAATGAGGGTGCGGAGATGGGCAAAATGGGTGAAGGGGAGTAGAGGATACAGGCTTCCAGTTATGGAATGAATAAATCACAGGAATATAAGTCACCGGAAATGAATATAACCAATAATACTGTAATAGAGTTGTTTGCTGACAGTTGGTAGCCATACCTGTGGTGATCACAGTATAATGTCCAATCTTGTCAAATCACTATTCTCAAATTTTTAAAAAGTTAAAAATTAAAGCACGAGATTTTTCAGGGTGTGCTTTCATGAATAAAGTTAGGGGAAGTGAAGGAACGAAAATTGAGGGACTGTCATCGTAATAGTGGCCTTGGACTCGTGGTAATTAGACTGGTTGCATAAAAAGGGGTCATGATGACTTCTTAGTGACAGCACTGTCCGTACTGATCACCTTTGTGGTCTTCTACAAGTCTACAGACCTCTGGTAATCACTGGAAAAAAAATTGTTAGGGAGCGGGGCAGCCAAGGGGATTGCTGGGATCTGTAGGATCCTTTTTACTTTACTGATGCACTCAAAGTCTGGGAGCTCAAGAAGTATTACTGCAGATTTACAAAGCTCAACAATTTTAGGCAGATAACCAACAAGGTAAATGCTTTGGTATCACCTGATCCCAAGGAATTTGGGTAGGGGTTGAGGGGAATCTATGATTAAACAAAGAAGTCCTTTAGAGAAATCTGGGTTCTCTTCCGAGTGCGTGTAAGCCTTGATCTTTCAAACTCAAAAGATGGTGTGTTTGTCATGTTGGTGAGGGGAAATCACTTAGGCTAAAGCCACTATCCTCTGACCAAGAGCATGAAGCCATTGTATTTACATAGCCTTGCCGTGTGCCATTTTTAGAACATGTTGCTTCCTCAGAGTCTGCACCAATTTCAATGTCAAATCAACATTTGCATTCTTGCAATGATTTTACAATCAACTGTTATTTGCCTAGTGATGAGTTACTGTCAAAAGTTTGGATTACTTAAAAGCCCTCTCATCTGGCTTCTCCACCTATTTTCTTAGGGACAGGCTGCAGAAAAAAAGTTTCAGAATCTTCCTTCTTCAGACATTCTTGTTAGGCTGACTTCTCCTCTACTGTGGTATTAAGGTGATTTCTCTCTCCTCACACTTTCTCTCCTCTAGCCATTACTTCCTTTCC